AGATGAAAACGGTTCTGGAGATGGATGCTGGTGATGTTTGCATGACAATGTGAGCATTACTTGACATGACTAGACTGTACACGTAAGCAGTTAAGATGGAGATTTTATGTATTCGCTCACAACTGAAAAAATGTTCGTAGTCTACTGTTTCATTTTTTGAGACAGAGGCTGGAGTGCAGTGGTGCGATCTCGGCTCACTGCAACCTCCACCACGCCAGGTTCACGTGATTCTCGTCCCTCAGCCTCTTGAGTAACTTAGATTATAGCGTGCACACCACACAGGGCTAGGTTTGAGATTTTTTGTAAGAACAGGTTTCACCATGTTGGCCAGGCTGGTCTCAAACTCCTGGTCACAGGTGATCCACTGCAACGGCCTCCCAAAATGCACTGGGATTACAAGCGTGAGCCACCACGCCTGGCCTTGGTAGTGTTGCTACAATAGAGACTCTTCCTGAAGATAAGATTAGTAGGACTGGCACAGGAGGAGTTCAGCTAGGCAGAGATCAGTCATCCTTGACCCCTGGGATCATGTTTTCTTGACTCTGTCATTTTTGAATTTACCTAACCTAAAATGACCACTTCTGAATTTCTTCATGAAGCATTATTTGAAACCACCATTGGTGATTTTGTCTCTTGCTCTTGATTCAGAGCAGAACTGGCCCCTTCTTTTCTTTGAATTACAAGGTCTGGGCTTCTGGGCAAGACAAGCTGACACTTTGCCTGGCTGCTTTAATTCAGAAGGCCACAAATGCTGAGGTACCACGGTAGGCACCGCTGGGATTGGGGTTACCAAGCATCTCATTTCAGGGCTTTCTCAATGTCAACACTGAAAGTCTGGTTTCCTTCAAGAATCCCTCAGCTCAATGCAAACTCAGCTAATAGGACTGGTCACCCTGCTAGTAGTCTAAATCATGAGGACAAACTGCGGGAAAGTAGGGAAGGAGCAAAGAAAAAGACTAGAAAAATCAGAAAAGCTGTGCGGTGTCTATGACTTTTGATGGCCCTCAAAGGTTACCATGGATTTCACAGTTGCTTACTTTGAGTTTATGTGATTATAACGATGTGCTTAATTCCACAAATTATCAGCATAATAATAAAAACCAACAAATGTGAACACGTCTCTAGTACCATGCCAGTTTATTACAGGTATTATGTCATTTCTTTCTAACAGTAATTCTCTAGGAGTAAGCATTATTATTAACCCTGGTAAGTCCCACTAAAGATGCCCTTTCTCAGGTCTAGAGAGAAAGACACCAAAAATGTCACCTGACCATCCTTGAGGTGAGGATAAACGGCCAGGCACGGTAGTTCACGCCTATAATCCCAGCACTTTGGGAAGCCGAGGCGGGCGGATCACAAGGTCAGGAGAGCGAGACCATCCTGGCTAACACTTGACCGTCTCTACTAAAAATACAAAAAATAGCCGGGCGTGGTGGCAGGCGCCTGTAATCCCAAATTTTCAGGAGGCACAAAACAAATAAAATGAGGCTACAAGCCAAGCTTCTAATGCGAATCTACGCCACTACCTCAACCTAGCAAACAAGCGAGAACTCCATCCCAAAAAAAAAAAAAAATATATATATATAAAAATTAGCCGGGTGTGGTAGTGCACACCTGTATTCCTAGTTACTGAGGAATGCGAGAATCACTCCCTAGCCAGAGGCAGAGTTTGCACTAGGCGATCATGCCACTGCCTCAGCTGGTGGCTGAGCAAGATTCTGTATCAAAATAATAATAAAGACAATAAACTTTTGGAGCATTAAAGGCCACTCTTCCTCTGGGAATAATCAAGGTAATATAACTTAAGCCTAAGCTGATTGTTAAAATGTTCAGAAACAATATGATCAAAACCATTTAGAGGTAGGGCCTCCTCCTATAGACGATGAAACAGCTACCTAAAGCTCTATTATACTGGAAGAGAGATATGAGACCCTTCCTGCTTTAGAATCCAGTGAAGCCGGGCATGGAGGCTCAGCCTGAAATCCAGGACTTTGGGAGAGTGGGCAGATCACCTGAGGTCAGGAGTTTGAGAACAACAAGGCCAACATGATGAAACCCTGTCTCTACCAGTAACACAAAAATTAGCCGGGCGTGATGGCGCACACCTGTAATCCCAGCTACTCCAGAGGCTGAGGCAGGAGAAAAGAAAGAAACTGGCAGAAGCCGGGAGGTGGAATTGCAGTGGCGGAGATCGCGCCACTGCCTCCAGCCTGGGAGACAGAGCGAGACTCGAGTCTCAAAAAAAAAAAAAAAAAAGAGAAGTCAATGAGAAGGCGCCTGACCTGGTGGCAGTGGGAATATACTTGAGGAAGGAACTGGAACCTGAAGTACCATAAACAGAGGGCCTGCACTGACTGGATGGGCAGCGAAGAAGCAGATCCTCCTCCTCAGAGATCCACAGCAGCTGGGAGTCTGGATCTGCAAGACCCACTTGGTTTGATGGTACTGTGGGACCATCTGTCAACACTGACACCCTGTAGCACTGAGGAAGCAAAAGCAGCAAACCAAACTAGCCTCAAGCTCTCCCTGCTGGAACTAGAAAGTCCAGTAGCCCCCTTCTTCCTCTGTTTTTGATTTGTTGTGTTTTTATGTTATTTCTTTGTTTGTTTTTGCTTTAATTTTCTTCAAGGCGGAGTCTCGCTCGGTTGCCCAGGCTGGTAAATGCCGCCATCTCACGGTTCACTACAACCTCATTATGCGGGTTCTTCGATTCTCCTGCCTCAGCCTCCCCAGTAGCTGGGATTACAGGTGCCACCCATAATCATTGCTCTTCCACCCGGATCGCTCCTGCTTCCAAAGGCACTGAGGCCATGAGACAGCGTTTGCAGATACCACGATAACTACAGCCTGATCTTTGGCAGTCCTGCTTCCAAGAAATGGCTGTGGATCCCCGAATGAAGGGCAGCTCCTCTCCTGTCTTTAAAACCTGCTTCTTAACTTGCTTCCCAAATGCTCAATTCAGGCGAATATGATTATCACCAGGCTCACAGGATAGAGAGAGCAGTAGCTCCACCCTAGTGGAAACATCCAGTTGAAAAGGTCATGTTCGGGGATGATGCTATTTTGCAAAGTCGGAATATTTCATGCCCTCCAGGAAGTCTTGTGATCCGAGTTATGCTCTACCAACAATCTGTCTTCCCAGTCATAGAAGTTCATGCACAAATGTAATCTCCTAGTTGTTTGTCTAAGTAAACTCCTAATAAATTTGTGAAACCAGGGACAATGTTTTGTTCCTGCTATATCCTGACCTTACATGTGATGAAACAAAGGGTTATTTTACTTAATCTATAACACCAGACTCAGAGGAGGTCTGGGAAGAATGGGAAAATGTTTTCCTCTGCCATATCTGATACCACCATTTTTCTGGCTAATATCTGCAATTTGGAAGACTCACCTCTCTCTATCTAAATCAGTTTCAGTTCCGTTTTTATTCCTTTGTTTGTTTTAGGACAGGAGTCTGGCTCTAATGCCCAGGCTGGAGTACAAGTGCATGATCTCAGCTGCTGCAACCCTCTACCTCCCACGCTCAGTGATCCTCCCACCTCGAACTCTCGTAACTAGGACTGAGAACATTTTCTCACGTGTTAAGTTTTGTACTTTCTGTAGAAATGGTTGCCATGTTGCCCGACTGTTGCAATCTCCGGGGGCTCAAGTGTTCGCCCGCTTCAGCCTCCTCAAAGTGGGATTACAGAGGCGTGAGCCACCGCCCCCGCCTGAATTTTAGTTTTGAAAGCAGGTAAAATAGGCTGCTGCCCTGAGCTAATGCACCCTGCCTGGGCTGGTTGTTTCACATATCGACACGGTGTTTTTCCTTAGAAATTGTGCTTAAAGTTATAAAATGCAGCCAGGAGCGGTGGCTTACACCTGTAAGCCAAGCACTTTGCAGGAACAAGGTGGGTGGATCACAAGATCAGGACTTCAGACAGCCTGGCCAAGATTGGCGAAACCTGCACTCCAAACAGAAAAAATCAACTGGGCATGGTGGTGGGCACCTGTAATCCCAGCTACTTGGGAGGCTGAGGCAGAGAATTGCTTGACCAGGTGGAGGTTAGATGGCGAAATCCACCACTGCACTCCAGCATGGGTAACACAGTGTGACTCCATGTAAAAAAAAAAAAAAGTTATAAAATGCAACTATTTGGCCATAATTAGGGCTTTCGAAATGACACAGAAGGAAGTAAATACAGTATCATAAATCACTTTTATTTTACCACAGCAACAACTAATAAACTGGCTATATGTTAAAGGAAAAAAATCAATTTATAATTCTCATACCTTCTCAAGAAGATGAATCTCCCTCTTCCCAGGACAGGAAGGAATGGATGTAAAATCCTTGTAGAACATTTGCAAGAGAAGTTCATCTTGAAGCTTCTAAGTGTTTGCAGACAGATGAAAATATGCAGACAGATGAAAGGAGAGTAAACATTGAAACTCGAACCTAGACACTACATATGGGTAAAAAAACTGGCAAATGCAAACTCACAGTTGATCTCTGTGAAAAGGAATTCAGAGATGTTTGGGTGCTTAGCCTATGGGGCCAATTCCATGGAAAATTCTACCTTCCTGCTTCCACAGACAGAACACTGGGCTAGATAGGATGCTTGTCTGGCCCAAAGTGGAATTTCTTACCATCTGTATACTCCCCCAAGACCCACAGATAGTGGTTCACTGGTCAAAGCTTGCCACTGATCCTTAGTGATGTCAACAAGCTCATCTCTGGAGCTAGCACTCCAACCCAGGTCAAGGCAGAGAAAGTGGAGATGGGAACAGAGCTCCAAAACCTGTGCCCATTATTTGATACTTACTCCTTCAAAGTCTATTTCTGGACTACAAATTGAGTTCAATTCTAAATCAACTTCATGAAATATGAGTTGCATTTCTAGATGTACCTGAATTTAAGTATGATGTTTGAAAAAAGGCATTATACTTAAAATAGAAAGGACAGATTCTTTTTTTTGGATCAAAGAGTGAACATTTAGTGCAACTGGCAGAACACGAGGTTTTTTTTTTTTTTGGATCTAAGAGTGGACTGATGATGCAACTGGCAAGGCACAAGAGGCCTTCTTACAAATCAAACATTGAGACTGAGATTCCTAATGACTAGAGTGAGCTCAAAAGAGAAAGGTGGCTGGGCACAGTGGCTCACACCTGCAATCCCAGAACTTTGGGAGGCCGAGGTGGGCAGATCACTTGAGGTCAGGAGTTTGAGACCAGCCTGGCCAACATGGTGAAACCCCATCTCTCCTAAAAATACAAAAATCAGACAGGTGTGGTGGTGTGCATCTGTAATCCCAGCTCCTGGGGAGGCTAAGGCAGGAGAATCACCTGAACTCGGGAGGCTGAAGTTGCAGTGAGCCAAGATCGCATCATTGCACTCCAGCCTAGGTAACAAGAGCGAGACTCCATCTCGAAAAAAGAAAAAAAAAAAAGAGAGAGAGAGAGAGAAAGGTGAGCTTGTGGACATACTGGACAAACAGGACATGGGACATGGGGGCCTGAAACACTGTTTTACAGACAGAAGAACACAAAGGGAAATGCAGCCTGCCATTCTGTTACTTCCTTTCTTCTCTATCCCTTCTTCCCTCCCTGGGAAACCACAGTAGCAGAAGTCTCATTCAATCAAATAGCTGTCAATTATATGAGTTGTACTTTTCTCTTCCTCAACAGCAAACTGGCTTTCCTCCTTTTTGTCCTCCTCTTTCTGCCTATAGAGCAATTTCCTCCTGTCCACTTTGCAGGGCCGAAAGCTCAAATACAGTGTTATGGTGATGACACCCACTCCAAGGGCAAAGGTAATAACGACAAAGAGGGCAGAGCTGATTCCTTCATCCAGTCCTGTCCGAGCAGAGAAGACAGAGTTAGGAAGGTCTGAAAGTACGAGGATCACCCACCCCAGCCCACCGGGCCCACTTCTGAGTCTTATTCTTCCCAACCTAGTAGAATCTTTCTTATTTTCATCCTTGGATAAGAATTCCAAACCCCTAAGGAGTTTCCCCTCTCCTGGGCCCGGCAGCAGGGCAGCAAAGTTTACCTTGAACAATGACAGCAACGTCTTTGCTGACAGAGCCCAGCTGGTTAGTGGCTGTGCAGCAGTAGGTTCTGGTGTGGTTCTGGGTTGCATTCTGTGGCACTTCAAGGTCAAAGACCACCCCATTCCAGGTACACACCAAGGCTGGAGCTGGGTTTCCCTTTGGGACGCAGGCAAGCGTGTGTTCCATCCCTTCCAGCCAGGTCTGTTTGCCAGGGCAACTGGATTCCTCTAGCCGTGGCTTGTCTGCAAAACCAGAGTTTCCCAAAGAGCTGAGTTCAGTGCACCACACTCCCTCACTACCTTCACACCCTGCTCTCTCTCCTCACCCAAATGCGGTCCCCTCCACCCAACAGCTTTCCTTACCAAGGGAGCACTAGCAGCTCCCTACTTTGAGGCAACTCTTCTTTCCCATCTTCCCCATGGGCATGGAGTCCCAGATGAAACCTAGGGTATTTTTGTTTGTTTGTTTGTTTGAGACGGAGTCTGGCTCTCTCGCCAAGCTGGAGTGTGTGCAGCGGTGTGATCTCGGCTCACTGTAACCTCCACCTCCTGGGTTCAAGCGATTCTCCTGCCTCAGTCTCCCGAGTAGCTCGGACTACAAGCAGTGCCCCCATGCCCAGCTAATTTTTGTATTTTTAGTAGAGACGGGGTTTCATCATGTTGGCCAGGATGGTCTCTAACTCTTGACCTCGTGATCCACCAGCCTTGGCCTTCCAAAGTGTTGGGATTACAGGCGTGAGCCACCACGCCCAGTCAAAACCTAGGGTGTTTCTATAAAAAAGATTCAGACTAAATGATAACCCTGCTGTGTCCATGGTGGCCCTGTGCCCCTGCTTCCCATCTTTGCTTCTCAGCAGCTAAGGAGCTAGGTAGTGGTGAACTCAAGAGATGAGGATTTTTCTACTTTTCCCTTTTTTTTTTTTTTTTGAGACGAAGTCTCGCTTTGTCACCCAGGCTACAGTGCAGTAGCGTGATCTCGGCATACTACAACCTCCGCCTCCCAGGTTTCAAGCGATTCTCCTGCCTCAGCCTCCTGAGTAGTGGAATTACAGGTGCCTATGACCACACCCGGCTAATATTTGTATTTTTCATAGAGATGGGGTTTCACCATGTTGGTCAGGCTGGTCTGGAACTCCTGACCTCTAGCCATCCAGCCACCTCGGCCTCCCAAAGTGCTGGGATTACAGGCGTGAGCCACTGCGCCCGGCCTATTTTCTCTACTCTTCAAAATAGAAATTTGTAGAGGGAATTTTTGGATATTTCCCTTTTCAGCATAAACTCCCACTATCACTTCCTTTGTTCTCCTCGGCCATCACCCTCAACTAATGTTGCCTGATCACTTTAACCCCTTTCCTTTATGTTCCCAATTTCCCCTCATCTGGTTCCCCACTCACTCTCCCGGGAGTAAGGTAAGCTTGGAGCGCTTTCCTTTTATTCTCTCCTTTGATTTTTTTTTTAAATGAGAAAAATGTGGCAACTCTAATAATGAAGCACTGCTGGCCAAGAAGCTCTCTAGAAATGGGAAAATAATAATCCTTATTTTGACAAGAAAGATCAGGCCCCTACTCACATAGGACATGGAGCTGCATCACAGTGGTTTTCATCAACCACTGACCCTGCACCTCCAAAGAGGCCTCGCAGGAGAAATTTCGGCCATCATCTTCCTCCCTGGCAGTAAGTAGAAGCCAGGCAGGCTCCCCAGGGGCAGGGAGGTCTGGGGCTCCCTGAAGCTGAAGAGTAGGGCTGGGTGATGTTAATACATGCCCTGAGCAGGTCACATTAATGTCGGTCCCTGCCAATGGGTATGATTCTTTTAGCTCCAGGATTGGTGGAGGGAAGCCTGTAAGGAAAGGAAAAGGAGAATCAGACACATTTCTCCAAACTAGCAGACACTTCTGCACTCTTGCTGCTGGCAAAAGCCCTTGGGAAGGCAGACAACAGGGGAAAGACTTTGGATACCATCGCTGCTTCTGTAAAAGCTGAAGGAAAGGATGAGGTGGTTTGGGGATCCGAGAGCTTCTCTTATGCACGCACACATTTAGTTATGCTTCGCTGCAAGGACTGCAAGATGTCTTTTCATCTTACAGCTTTCCTCCTCACCTCAAATAAATGTTCCTAAAGTAGTTCAGGGCATCCACAATCACTCTGTAAGCAGGATAGCCTAAGGAAACTGGGGATGAAGTCTGAAAAGAACTACTGTAGCAATACATGTCCCCAATCTGCCTGCATTTACCAGAGAAAGATGAAGACTCATGTTCACTTGAGAGAGTACCCAGCAAAGGGCAGCAGGGATATCTACAGCCAAATCACTAACCCATTACTGTGTGTTTTCAGTTGCAGAGAACCCGTATGAAAAAGGAAGAGCCAGGTCACTTACTGTAGCTATGCACTAGCTTTCTTGTTTTCTGTTCCATTGGACCCAGAGATGCAAGGCAAGACAGTTCCTGATCACCAGCCTCCATGGCCCGAAAGGTAGCATTGGCCCATGCTGTGTCCCCCTCCCAGGAAAGGAAGGAGCTCAGCTCTTGGTCTTCCAGGAACATATGGAATATAACTTCTTTGGCTGGAAACACCCTAGCCACCTCGCAGCTCATAGTCTCCGCCATCCCAACCTCCAAAAGGGAAGAGACCCAGATATGGGTAGTCTGAGAGAATTCTGCCAAAAAAATGAGGACAAGAAGAGAAAGGAGAAAAGTCATGAGAAATCATACGTCATGCAGGACCCTTCAAGGTGGGAAGGAAGTGGGGTTAAAATGTCTCTCTTCCCCAGGGTGAGCTTAAAGCCCAAGCAAAGGTGGAGCTCAGTTACTCTCACACCCTCACCCTAAACCCCATGAGAACTTAGTCCCAAAGGCCAAGGCAAGATAAGCCCCAGGATTCCTCCTGCACTTGAGTTCTGACTCACCAAAGATCCGGAGTATTTTGATGGGTGAGCTGCCTTGAAAGAGGCTCCCACCTTGCAAACTCAAATCCAATTCTGCACGGCAGGAAAAATTGCACCTGTCATTCTCCCTTTGGGCTCTGACACTGATGATGACCTCAGCTCTTTGGGAGGCCACAGCCAAGCTCATAAAGTTCTTTCTATGCAGTTCTTGGTTACCCTGGAGAAGGGCAAGGGTGAGGCTCTCCAAGGGTGCTACACTGGGCACATGACACTTCACTGTGAAGGCTTCATCCACGGCCACCCAGGCAGGCTGCAGCTCCAGGATCACTTGCTCTGGTGGCTCTTTAAGACAAAAAAGCAGGGCTTGATGAGCATGCCATCCTCCTCTCCAGAAAGAAACGGCATAGGACAGGAAGATGAAGTGATACAAATCACAGAAGGTGACTGCCACCTTAAACCATCTGATCAGCAATGTCAGAATGTCAGCTTTCTGCCATCCCTGCCCTAGATGGGGCGAGTTAGTCTTCTGGCTCTTGTTCTTCCCATCAAAAGTGGCTAAGACCATAGCCAAGAAGAGTGACTGCTGAGGGAGGGTCCCTTGCTTTGACTGTTGCTGCCATTCTGGAAAGCACTGATCTCTTACCAGAGGGGCTTCAGAGGCAAGAGCAGCTTCTGGGGGCTCCTTAGCATCACACAAAATCTATACTCTAGCAGGCCAGGTGCGGTGGCTCACGCCTGTAATCCCAGCACTTTGGGAGGCCAAGACGAGCGGATCACTTGAGGTCAGGAGTTCCAGACCAGCCTGGCCAAGATAGTGAAACCCTGTCTCTACTAAAAGTACAAAAATTAGCCAGGCGTGGTGGCAGGTGCCTGTAATCCCAGCTACTCAGGAGGCTGAGGCAGAGAATTGCTTGAACCCGGGAGGCAGAGGTTGCAGTGAGCCAAGGTTGCACTACTACACTCCAGCCGGGGCAACAGAGCAAGACTCCATCTCAAAACAAACAAACCAAACTATAGTTAACCAAGTTGTGACCCCACAGAGACCATACTTGCTTTCGTGGCCATATCTTTGCCCATGTTATTTGCCCACCTGAAAGGTCTTCCTTACCTGTCCCCTTCAATTCAAACCCTAACCATCCTGGGGGAGGGCAGTCAGGAGCCTCCTCCACCATGGAGCCTTCTCAGGCTGCCCCAGTTCACAAAGACCCTTCTCTCTCCAATCTCTGTTTATTCCAATAGCTTGTAGCAAACAATTCAGCATTAATTTTATACTTTTTTTTTAAGAGATGGGATCCCACTCTGTTGCCCAGGCTGAAGTGCAGTGGTGTGATCATAGATCACTGCAGGCTTGAACTTCTAGGCTCCGAGGATCCTTCCACCTTAGCCTCCCAAGTAGCTGGGACTACAGGTGCACACCACTATGCCTGGTTAACTTTGAAAACTTTTTTTGTAGAGACAGAGGTCTCACTATGTTTCCCAAGCTGGTCTCAAACACCTGGCCTCAAGTGATCCTCCTGCCTTGGCCTCCCAAAGTGCTGGGATTAAAGCACGAGCTACTGTGCCCAGCCTAATCTTATACTTTTTGGTAATTTAACCATAAACATTATTAGCATATGTTTCCTGTATTGAAGATATTTTCAAGCACAGATGTCTGGATGCTCTCTATGGTCTGCTCCTAATTTAAAACTCAGAAGAAAGCCTACATCAAAGGGAAGTAGAAGTGGGCCAGGCTCACTTCTACTTGCTGAACTTGAGGTGGCTCACGCCTGTGGACTTTGGGAGGCCCAGGACTTTGGGAGGCTGAGGCAGATAGATCACTTGAGGTCAGGAGTTCAAGACCAGCCCATCTGTACTAAAAAAATACAAAAATTAGCCAGGAATGGTGGCGGGTGCCTGTAGTCCCAGCTACTGGGGAGGCTGAGGCAGGAGAATTGCTTGAATCCACGAGGTGGAGGCTGCAATAAGCTGGGATCACACCACTGCACTCCAGCCTGAGCGATAGAGCAAGATTCCGTCTCAAAAATAATAATAATAATAATAAAGGTGATTGGATCTAGAATCCTTACAGTATGACAGAAATCTTTATTAAGGGCCTTAATTATCTCCCCTAATTAGAAACATTTGTCCCATCCTTCCCTAAATAAGACATGTTCATGTTTCCCCATTCCTCCTTTCCATCCCCCTGCCCCCAGCCCTTAGCCCTACTCACGATACACAGTGATGCCAAGGCTTGTGTCCTTTTGAATCCCTGCACAAGAGAAGAAGCACTGCAGGATGGAATTCTCTGTTACATCCTCCAGAAGAAACTCTTTCCACTGAGGCCCTTTGCCCACCTGAGTTTTCTTTAAGAAGGTCTCAATTCCACTGGGTCCTGGGTCTGGGCAAGTAGTGCTGCAGTTGACCACTAGGGACTGTCCAAACTCCACCAGGGCCTGATTTGGCCAAACAGAAACCTCAAACGACTCTTCCGCGACCCCTGAAATACGAACCACATATGCCAATGACTCTGGTGAGGACCACGAGACCCAAACAAAATACAGAACCTATTCTATCTAGTTCTAGGTTAGAGAACAGGAAATCTGCCCTGAACAAAAAGGTTCAGAGGACCAGACAGGACAAAAGACCTGTAATTGGCTGGGCGCGGTGGCTCACACCTGTAATCCCAGCAGTTTGGGAGGCCAAGGTGGGTGGATCACCTGAGGTCAGAAGTTTGAGACCAGCCTGACCAACATGGAGAAACCCCATCTCTATTAAAAACACAAAATTAGCCGGGCGTGGTGATGTGTGCCTGTAATTCCAGCTACTTGGGAAGATGAGGCAGGAGAATTGCTTGAACCCGGGAGGCAGAGGTTGCAGTGAGCTGAGATTGTGCCATTGCACTCCAGCCTGGGCAACAAGAGCGAAACTCCACCTCAAAAACAAAAACAAACAAACAAACAAAAAAACCTGTAATTAACAAGTTAGTTCTGATTCCTCCACTATTCTCTCCACCTATCTTCTTTCTTGAGAACTTGAATTCTCTGTTAATATCACCATGGAAATTATGGAGTTGCTAAAAAAATTATGCCCAGGAAACCAACATCTTCCTAAACTTTCAGAATTCTTGAAAGCGTCCCAGGATAGGCTGCTGCGGACCCTCACAGGATTCGAACTTCATTACTTATCCCTCAAAGCAGTGCCTCCCTCAAATTATGGCTAAGGATTCCCTTCGCCAGAATCACCCTGAATGCTTGTAAACTGCAGATTCCAACTCCATCTCAGAGTGCATGGTTTCAAACCTGTGAAGGTGGGACCTGAAAATACGCTAGGGAATAAAACAAGCCTGCCGGGGACCCTTATGCACACCAAATTCTCAGACCCATAGGTCTGCAGGCGACTCCCGGGTCACTCATTTCCCATGCCTTTTCTTTATGCCTCTTCTCAGAGTGAGGCCATTCTGTTTTGATTTGGTGCTGAGAGAATAGATGTTTTGGATGCCTACAAATTTTGTCTGTTCTAGAAATCTTCTCTGATGCAGTGGGAGATGTCAGATACATTTTTATTTTATTTTATTTTATTTTATTTTATTTTTGAGACAGAGTTTCACTCTTTTTGCCCAGGCTGGAGTGCAATGGTGCAATCTCAGCTCACTGCAACCTCCGCCTCCCATGTTCAAGCGATTCTCCTGCCTCAGCCTCCCAAGTAGCTGGGATTACAGGCATGTGCCACCATGCCCAGCTAATTTTGTATTTTTAGTAGAGACGGGGTTTCACCATGTTGACCAGGCTGGTCTCCTGACCTCAGGTGATCCGCCAGCCTCAGCCTCCCAAAGTGCTGGGATTACAGGCATGAGCCACTGTGCCCGGCCAAGCCACCGTGCCTGGCCTCAGATGGATTTTAGATGCCTGATGTAAGTAAAGGGCACAGAGACTTCAGGAAGTCCTGAAGGCTTCTCTACAGGTCCCTTTTAGCTAGTCCATGTCTACCATCTACTTCACCTCCCAATACCAGTCCCCTCTGGGAATACACAGCTCTTGTAGCAGTGTTACCTGCTAAGGCCCCTGTTCCTTTCCTGTCATCAGGAGAACTCACTTTTTGTACCTGAGCTATGGGTCCTGTCCTACCAAGAGCCTATTATAGTTCATCATGACACAAATGGTGGCAACAAAGAAGTAAAAACATTCTCAAGAGGAGAAATACAGGGCAGTCCTGGGGCAGTAAGGAACCAAGCAGAGAAGGCATGTTTCCTAGGGAGAGTCCTCTCTGATAGTCTATTAACTTGGGTTATCCCAGTTACAAGCCAGAGACCCTAAGGATTCTGTATCCTAGTGATCCAAGAGATAGGAATATTTCCCCCGGGTCCAGATGAATGAACACTGAAGTGTCACCCCACTTAGGACTCCCCACCTCCTTCCTCACTGACCAGCTAGCTACCTGTGTCCTGGCACATACTGGTTTAAAATGCTTTCCCAAATAGCCTCACCTGGGCAAAGGATCAAGGCCAGCAGGGCCCAGACACCAAACAGAAGCATTTTCATCCTGATGAGAATGGCCAAAGGCTGGAGAGAAAAAGACAGCAATGCTGGAGAAAGTGACCAAAAATACATATATAAGGAAAATTATTTCTTTGATATTAAAAGTCAGTCCCTTTCCTGAAATCTCGCTAGTCTAGAAAAATTACAGCAAAAACATCAGCAGTGAAGGTGTACTAAAAGAATGTCTTGGGCTTGGCATGGTGGCTCATGCCTGTAATCCCAACACTTTGGGAGGCTGAGGCAGGAAGATCATGAGGTCAGGAGATCGAGATCATCCTGGCTAACACGGTGAAACCCTGTCTCTATTAAAAATACAAAAAATTAGCCCGGTATGTTGGCAGGAGCCTGTAGTCCCAGCTACTCGGGAGGCTGAGGCAGGAGAATGGCATGAACCCAGGAGGCGGAGCTTGCAGTGAGCTGAGGTTGTGTCACTGCACTCCAGCCTGGGCGACAGAGTGAGATTCCATCTCAAAAAAAAAAAAAAAAAAAAAAAAAAAGGCGGGGCGGTGGCTCGCGCCTGTAATCCCAGCACTTTGGGAGGCTGAGGCAGGTGGATCACGAGGTCAGGATGGGGGCCATCCACAAATAACATGGTCGAAACCCCATCTCTCTACTAAAAATACAAAAAACTAGCCGGGCATGGTGGCGGGCGCCTGTAATCCCAGCTACTCGGAGGCTGGGGCGGGAGAGGCCAGGCGTAAAGCTTGGGAGGCGGGCTTGCGTGGGCCGAGATCGCGCCACTGCACTCCGGCTGGGCGACACAGTGGAACTCCGTCTCAAAAAAAAAAAAAAAAAAAAAAAAAAAAGAATGTCCTATATTATATCTATTTATTTCAGTTTGGCTTATGTGCATAGCAAAAACACGAGGAAAATATGAAAAAGATGAGGCAATGATATCGAGACTCTGTGTAAGTTGTATTCTACTAAAAAAAAAAAAAAAGAATGTCCTATATTATATCTATTTATTTCAGTTTGGCTTATGTGCATAGCAAAAACACGGGGGAAAATATGAAAAAAGATGAGGCAATATTATCGAGACTCCTGTGTAAGTTGTATTCTACTTACCTTTTTACTAGTTTGCCTCCATCTATTAGACTGAGTCAATAGAAGAGTGCTGGCATGAAAACATGAAAAACTGAGTTTAGGCTGGGCACAATGGTTTACACCTATAATCCCAACACTTTGAGAGGCCGAGGCGGGTGGATCACCTGAGGTCAGGAGTTCCAGACCAGCCTGGCCAACATGGAGAAATCCGTCTCTACTAAAAAAATACAAAATTAGTTGGGCGTGGTGGCAAGTGCCTATAATCCCAGCTACTCAGGAGGCCGAGGCAGGAGAATCACTTGAACCCAGAAGCCAGAGGTTGCGGTGAGCCGAGATCATGCCACTGCACTCCAGCCTGGGTGACAGAGCAAGCCTCCTTCTCAAAAAAATAAAACAAAAAACTCATTCAAGCTAATTTCTTCTAAGAAAGGCTTCTTGACTAGCCTTATCGCACTTCACAGTCCCTTATTTGTTATACATGATCTCTATCTCACTTTATGCCAAACAAGATTTCTGAAGTTGCAAAGTGAACTAATGTTCACTTTGGTGAATTATTTCAGTGATGTAATCATCACTGTACTAGAAATTCCTTGAGGATAAGAGGCTGTAATGTACTTATCTTGTATCTCCAGCACCTAGCACAGAGCCTATGATATTGTGGACTACAATGAAGGACTACCCTCCAATTTTGTATTGAATTTTCATACAGTGGGTTTGGAACAGGTCTAACTCCACTTCTATGCTGGTCTGAAAGAGTTTTTTCTGCTTTTTTTTTTTAAATACAGGGATAACAGGTGTATGAAAATTTGTACTCCCAAGTGAAGGTTACCCTTCAAAATAACCACTTTGGAATGCTATCATCTTATTCCAGTGATGACACAATTATTCAAAACCTTTTTTGAAATTATTTATTTATATATTGAGACAGGGTCTTGCTTTGTTGCCCAGGCTGAAGTGCAGTAGTGTGATCATAGCTCGCTGCAGCCTCAAATTCCTGGGCTCAAGCAATCCTCCCACCTCAGCCTCTTGAGTACCAGGGACTACAGGCACATACCACCACACCCAGATGATTTTTTTATTAACTGTTTTTGTAGAGACAGGGATCTCACTATGTTGCCCAGGCTAATCCTGAGCTCCTGGCCTCCAGTGATCCTCACACCTAAGCCTCCCAAGGTGCTGGGATTATAGGCATAAGCCACCATGCCCAGTCTGAAAGTAATTTAGAACTGGCTTTTAAGCCATATAAGAAAAATCAAGCTGGGAGCAGTGACTCATGCCTATAATCTCAGGATTCCAGGACACCAAGGTGGGAGGATTGCTTGAGCCCACGGGTTTGAGACCAACCTAGGCAACATAGCAAGACCCCTGTCTCTACAAAAACATTTAAAAATTAGCCAGGTGTGATTATGCTCACCTGTAGTCCTAGCTACCTGGGATGCTGAGGTGGGAGGATCACTTGAGCCAGTTTGAGGTTTCTGTGAGCCATGACCATACCACTGTACTCCAGTCTGGGCAACAGAGCAAGACCTTGCCATAAATAAATAAATAAGTAAAAAAATAAATAAATAAAGCAAGCTCTCCTCTTTGTTACTGAACCAAACCAGGTCTACCTGTCCACATGCAATGTAAAGCGAAACACTGAAGCACCAGATTTTTGTAGAGATAAAAGTCTATTTCAAGGTGGCTGAGCGAGAAGACAGGCTCAAATGTCTCTTCAATCTGGAGCCTGGAACAAATTTTAAGTGTGAGGGAGGACACAGGTATAGGTGGAAGTACTGGAAGGACAGATTTTGATCTGAAGGACTTCAAACAGTACCATTTATGGTAAGATATGGTAAAGGGTCTTATACCCAGACATTCCTGGGCTTGGACCCGTTGCTTTTGTTTCAAAAGTGTTCCCGTGCTCGACTTCCAGCCACATCCCAATCTTTTGGTTCTGCCGAAGGGCAAGACTTTAGTTCCAGGGTTATTTGAGGTCAAAGTCTCCCTTTCTGCACATGCTCTGACTGTATGACTTGCAACTTCTTGGCTCTGGGCCTGTAAAATAACTTGATACCCTGCTATCAGCGGGGTAGAATCAGTTAGAACTGATCCAGCAATTACACTCCAATGTGTAGATCTTGTGATGTTTAAGTCTATAACATGAATCCAGATTATTTGTGCTTTGATGGGGCCACAGTGTCACAAATAATTCCCCTTAGAGATTAATCCAAAAACTCCTTCTGTTTTACTCATCTCTCTGTAGCTTGCTGATGTTACCTTCTTTTTTTCTTTGAGATGGAGTCTCGCTCCGTCGCTCAGGCTGGAATGCAGTGGCACGATTTCTGCTCACTGCAAGCTCCGCCTCCTGGGTTCACGCCATTCTCCTGCTTCAGTCTCCTGAGTAGCTGAGACTACAGGCACCCGCCACCACGCCCGGCTAATTTTTTATATTTTTAGTAGAGACAGGGTTTCACTGTGTTCGCCAAGGTGGTTTCGATCTCCTGACTTCGTGATCTGTCCATCTGCCTTGGCTTCCCAAAGTGCTCAGATTATAGGCATGAGCCACCGCGTCTGGCCTTTTTTGTTTGTTTGTTTGTTTGTTTTTCTGAAATGGGGTCTCACTCAGTCACCCAGGCTGGAGTGCAGTGGTGTGATCATAGCTCACTGCAGCCTCAGACTCCTGGGTTCAAGCAATCCTCCCATCTAGGCATTCCAAAGTGCTGGGATTACAGGTGTGAGCCACTGCACGTGACCTGATGTTACCTTCTTCTGCATAGCCTGGCACTGCTGTCAATTTTTTTTTTTTTTTTTGAGACAGAGTCTCGCTCTGTTGCCCAGACTGGAGTGCAGTGGTGCAATCTCGGCTCACTGCAACCTCCACCTCCCTGGTTGAAGCATTCTCCTGCCCCAGCCTCCTGAGGAGCTGGGACTACAGGCATGTGCCACCTGGCCTGGCTAATTTTTTGTATTTTTAGAGAGATGGGGTTTCCCTGTGTTAGCCAGGATTGTCTCGATTTCCTGACCTCATGATCTGCCCGCCTCAGCCTCCCAAAGTGCTGGGATGACGGGCGTGAGCCACTGCGCCTGGCCTCACTGCTGTCTATTTATCTCATAGACTATGCTCTGCTCTTAGAGTCTTAGCAAAAAAACAAAAAATGAAAAAAAAAAACTTCCTATTGCTCATTACTATAAGCCAAGCTAATAGATTTTTCTTTGTAGTTGCTACTAGTACTCTCTCTATGCCCACAAACAGTCTTAAGAAAACCGTCCTGGGCAAGTTTTTGTTTTCATACCCATAGACAGACACGTACTTTGTTCTTTGTTGTTTCATGCCCTGCCCTCACTGCACTATCCCCACAGCTCCAATCTTGCATCCTTGTTTTCACGTAGCAGGTTCTGAAACACAAGATTCTGTATTTATCTTGCTAAGGAGAAAGAAAGCAGTAACCCCAAGGAGAAATTATTTTTAATTTCTTTTAGAATTCCTTTTGCTTATTCTGTGGATTATATCCCAAATTAGAGGTTTAAACTGAGGCCAGGCACAGTAACTCGCACCTGTAATCCCAGCACTTCAGGAGGCAGAGGCGGGTGGATCACCCGAAGTCAGGAGTTCAAGACCAGCCTGGACAACATGGTGAAACCCTGTCTCTACTAAAAATACAAAAATTAGCTGGACGTGGTGGTGGGCATCTGTAATCCCAACTATTCGGGAGGCTGAAGCAGGAGAATTGTTTGAACCTGGGAGGTAGAGGTAGAAGTGAGCCAAGATTGCGCCATTGCACTCTATCTCAAAAAAAGAAAAAAAAAAAAAAAAGGGTTAAACTGTCTGAAAGTTTTGTCCTGCACTCCAGCCACTGGGAGGTCTGTTGCAGGAGAGGGGTAGGCAGTGAGGGGAGGGTGGGGATGCATGCTGTTGGATTGCTCTGGCTGCAGGATGTGAACTAAACTTTGCCTCCAAGTTTGGGATTCTCGCCTTCCATTCATAGTCAATGGTTTCTTGCTGCCTTTCCTTCCTTCTTTCTTCCTTTCCTTCCCTCCTTCCCTCCCTGCCTCCTTCCTTTCCCTCCCTCCTTCTCTCCCTGCCTTCTTCCTTTCCCTCCCTCCCTCCTTCCTTCCCTTCCTCCTCCTTTTTCTTTCTTGCCTTCCATTCATATTCAAGGGTTTCTTGCTGATTTGTCTTTTCTTTCTTTCTTTCTTTCTTTCTTTCTTTTTTTTTTTTTTTTTTGAGACGGAGTTTCGCTCTTGTTGACCAGACTGGAGTGAAATGGCCCGATCTCCGCTCACTGCAACTTCCACCTCCTGGGTTCAAGCGATTCTCCTATCTCAGCCTCCCAAGTAGTTGGGATTACAGGCGGGCACTACCTCGCCCGGCTAATTTTTGTACTTCTGGTAGAGATGGGGTTTCACCATGTTGGCCAGGTTGGTCTGGAACTTCTGACCTCAAGTGATCTGCCCACCTTGGCCTCCCAAAGTGCTGGCATTACAGGTGTGAGCTACCCTGCTCAGCCGCTGTTTCTTATAAATGTAAGTCACACTGGGCCTTTGCACTCTCTCCTCCATCTGCCTAGAATTCTTTTCCTCCTCCCTAAACACTCCTCTATCCAGTTCAGTATCTCTGCCATGCGGCCTGAGTTGACCACGGGCTTCCCAGCCCTCCCTGCCCACGCCCCCCACCGCAACGCCCCCTGCACGCCTACCGCTTTCCCTTCCGCAGCACTATCGCCTTCTAACACCCAACCGATGAGGCCTGAAATCAGCGGCTCTATCTCCCCTGGACTGTAAGTACTGGGAAGGCAGGGCCCTTGGTTTTACTCACTTATGGATCCCAAGCACCTGGAACGTTACAGGCGTTCAACGACCATGAAGGAACAAGTGAATGCACGAACGCACTACATAGACGGGTACCAATCCTCGTGTGAGGGCCGCTGCCCCCCGCGTGGATACCGGGCACCAGGCCAGATCTTGCTGGGAAGGGGTCTCGGGTCCAGCGGGGAGAGGGGCGGGGACACCTCGTGGCCACCAAGGCTATTCCTGGCGGACGATCCCTAACACACGTGAGAACCCGTTCAAAAAGCACTTCCACCCGGCTCCTCTGGGCTTCCGGCGACAGCCAAGGAAAACATGACCGAAATCCTCACCGGGTCGCGGCCGCTCGCTCGCACGCCCCTCACCCTGCAGCTCCTCACGGCTTTGGCCTCCGCTCCTAGGCCTCCGCTCCTCGGCCTCGCCCGCTCAGCTATCAGGCGCCAGCCAAGCTCTCAGACCGTTTGGTCTGCACCGCCAGGCGGGGGCGCGCGAGGGTGCGGCCGGAGAGCGGATTTTCCTGATCTGCCTAGAAACTCCTGACGTCCACGCGAAAGCTCAGCAGGGTTGGCTGAGATGAGAGGGGCGGGCAGGTAGCTACAACGACGGGAGGGGAGCGCCGGGAAGATGAGGTTGGGGAAGGCTGAATCCTGTGGGGCAGAAAGCGCGTGTTTGGCGCCACATAACCACTTTTGAATAACGCAATATGGAAACAAAAGGAAAGGGATCGTTGTGGCAAAGCGCTGTTGTATGAGGAAAACAAGAGGTTGTCCTCCCCTGTGGCTGTTGTTTTCGTGGTGCGGCCCGGACAGGTGAGCCGGCCCGCGCCTCAGAGAGTTGCGCGCGAAGCCACGTTCCCGCCTTGGACATCGTGGCTCGCTTGGCGGAGCTTGGGGCCTCTGCTGGCTGCGCCCTGGCGGGCTGGGAGATGTGTTTGGCAGAGTTTTGACAATGGATAATTTGCAAAAAGGCTTGTTTTTTGTTTTGAGACGGAGTCTCGCTCTGTCGCCAGGCTGGCGTGCAGTGGCGCGATCTCAGCCCACTGCAACCTCCGCCTCCCGGGTTCAAGCGATTACTCCTGCCTCAGCCTCGTGAGTAGACTACAGGCGCCCGCCACCACCCCCGGCTAATTTTGTATTTTTAGTAGAGACGGAGTTTTACCTTGTTGGCCAGGCTGGTCTCAAACTCCTGACTTCAGGTGATCCGCCCTTCCAAAGTACTGGGATTACCGCATGAGCCACCACCCCCAGCCTTTTTTTCTTTTCTTTTCTTTTTTGCTCACCCTTCTGCGTTTCCATACCTTCCCTCCACTTCTTCACTTACAAATAACACACTTGAGCCCCCAGCGTCCCTTGCTTGCTTGCCGCCCGATGTGCCTGCGCCCCCTCTCACCCGCGCCGGGAGCTGTGGATCCAGTGGCAAAAATGGGGTAAGGGAGGAAATAGCCCTCCGTTGCATCTCTGCCAGGGACCCCCTTCCTCAGCTTCAATGCCAAACGTCTTCCTGGAGGGAAGCCTCTGGAGGTCAGTTCTCAAGCGTTCACCCTGACACCGCATTGAGCTGTTCCCATCTGGTTTCCTGTTGGACCTCTGGCTCTCCCTCAATCCTTGGCCTGACCGCGAGCCACGGGCCGAGTTTCTTGGTGCAGTGAAATGTGAGGATTTGGGTTGTTATTATTATTATTATTATTATTATTATTATTTCAGGAGAACAATTATGTGCCTCAACCATCGAATATAGGCACACTCCAGGGAGCCGCTGTTACCCGCATTTTATGGATCGGGTAACAGACTTGGAGAGGCCTCACTCTTGGGGACATGGGGGTGGCAGGCAGGGGAATTATTAATATTACTGGCAATTTTAGCATCCAGTGTGCGTTCCGAGAACTATTTCTTGCCCTGCAAGAATCTTTCATCAACCCGCATCTTTCTTTTTATACTCTGAGCAAGTGGCTTCTTGGGCTAAGGCAGGGCTGTCTAGGGTAACGTTATCACTGCCTTGTTCCCTCCTTCCATACTGATAATTTGAGGGAGAAAGTCAGATAGAATCAGAAGCTTTGGAGCCAGAAAAGCCTACCTATGAATCCCTTTTTAATACCTTACCAGCTTTCTGACTACTGGAAAATTACATAACTTGTAGTAATGTCCTCCTAATCTTTTTTTGTTTTTGAGATGGAGTCTCCCTGTGTCACCCAGGCTGGAGTACAGTATCCCCATCAGCTCACTGCAACCTCCACCTTCTGGGTTCAAGTGATTCTCTCCCTCAGCCTCCCCAGTAGCTGGGATTACAGGTGCCCGCCACCACACCTGGCTAATTATTGTATTTTTAGTAGAGACAGGGTTTCACCATGTTGGCCAGGCTGGTCTTGAACTCCTGGCCTCAGGGGATCCATCCACCCACCTGGGCCTCCCAAAGTACTGGGATTACAGGCATGATCCCTGCACCCCGGCACATGATTCCCATGCCTAATCCAATCCCATCTATTTTTATTAGAAATAGCTGTACTGTGTGAAAGCCATTTTTAAAAGTTCTGGTAATTTTAGGCCAGGCGTGGTGGCTCACACCTGTGATCCCAGCACTTTGGGAGTCTGAGGTGGGTGGATCACCTGAGGTCAGGAGTTTGAGACCAGCCTGCTCAACTTGGCAAAACCCTGTCTCTACTGAAAATACAAAAATTAGCCGGGCGTGGTGGCTGGTTCCTGTAATCCAAGCTACTTGGGAAGCTGAGGCAGGAGAATTGCTTGAACCTGGGAGGCGGAGGTTGCAGTGAGCTGAGATGGCGCCATTTCACTCCAGCCTGGGCAACAGAGCAAGACTCTTGTCTCCAGAAAAAAAAAAAAAAAAAAAAAAGTTCTGGTCATTTTATACATTTGTCACATCTAAATTTTAGCAAAAGGAAATGGCTCCAGCTGACCCATTTCCTTATGTGAAGGCTGTTTTCCTAGAGAAGTGGAGAAGTCATTCCTTCAAATGGATAATTGCTCTGCCCCAGGCAGTCATGGCTATGGGGCTGTTATAGAAGCTGGTTGAACCTGACAAAAGCGGGGGGAATTCTAGCTAGAGAGAAGCTGCATCTCTCTCTCTCTCTCTCTTTTTTTTTTTTTTTTTGGAGACAGAGTCTTGCTCTGTTGCTCGGGCTGGAGTGCAGTAGCGTGATCTCAGTTCACTACAACACTCACCTCCTGAGTTCAAGCAATTCTCCCACCTCAGCCTCCTGAGTAGCTGGGACTACAAGTGCCCGCCACCATACCCAGCTAATTTTTGTATTTTTTGTAGAGACAGGGTTTCACCATGTTGGCCAGGCTGGTCTTGAACTCCTGACCTCAAGTGATCCACCCACCTCAGCCTCCCAAAGTGCTGGGATTACAGGCGTGAGCCACGGCATCCAGCCTGCATCCCTTTTTGACTGCATTACTTGGTTTCTGGGTACCCCAAATCTGCTGCCTCCTGATCCCTCAAGACTTATTCCGTTACCTGCTGTTTATTGCTGGGACTATCAGCATCTGACTAAGGGCCACTTGTTCATGTCAGAGTCCAAATGGTAAGTTAGGGGCAGTGCAGCTCTAACCAGAGTTAGAACAGATAGATGAAGGGTTAAAAGCCGGAGATAGTATGAAATGAATCAATGTTGGCCGCCCCATGTATCAAGGTGAGGATAAAGTCTGGGCTAAGGGAATAAACAAAGAATCCAGGTGGAAGGTCACAAATTAATAAGTCCAAGAGAGTGAGAGCATAAAGCTCAAGAATTTGGTAACCGGATAAAGTCTGGGCTAAGGGAATAAATAAAGAATCCAGGTGGAAGGTCACAAATTAATAAATCCAAGAGAGTGAGAGCATAAAGCTCGAGAATTTGGTAGCCAAAGTTAACTGTTAAGGTTAAGCTGGTTTTGACCTGTCCTGATGGGTCAACTGCCAATTAGAACTGACTTGGAACAGAGTTTCTGGAGTGGGGAGTATAGTTAACTTTTATCAGAGTTATTTCCTGAGCAGGCATTGTTTCTGCACAGTCCTTGTCCTCTTGGAGTTCACACTGGAGGGGTATGTGGATGGAGACAGAGTTCCAAACAAAAGCCACAGCACAGAATGATAAATATTCTTGCAGAAACCTAGACTGAGTGTTAGGGAAAACACAAAGGAGAGCAAGAAATTAATGATGGCAGTTGGAGGGTGGGGATTCCTGTCATGGAAAATTCCAGAGGCAGTGACATTTGAATTGGCCTTGAAGGATAAACAGAGATGCTTGCATGGCAGATAACTGGAAGAGAGCAATTATTCATTTAATAAATACGTATTTGTGTTTAATTTTATACCAGGTATGATTCCAGGTAGTTGGGACGCAGCAGCAAATAAGACAAAGCCCTTGCCCTGAGGAACATCCATCCCAGTGACATCCTGGGTGAAGGAACCACAGTGTGCATGACTTGGCATTCAGGGCAGAGTGAGTGCAGTGTGGCTTCATGGTGGAATACATGAGCTGCTTCTGTGAATGTATACATCTCAAAAGAAGAACAAGAATTAGAGTCAAAAGAAAATCAATGGGATAATAAGCATTGTTATTTTATTAATAAAACAATTTGGGGCGGTTGGGAGAAAGAAGGCCGGTGAGGCAAGGTGAGGATAGATACTAATTAGGCCATGCTAAGAGGTTTAGCATAGACTCCTGTAAGCCATCGGCTTTTCAACATGTTAATGTTCTGGAACCCTTTTTTCAAAGGAAATTCTGCATGGTCACTCCATATATAAAACAACAAAAGTAGAGCTGCTTGGTGGAGGGGCAGGGGTGGGCATGGGCAGGGGAAAAACTCCTCACTCTGCACTTCCACCTCACTCTCAGCTCTCCGTGACAGCTCCTGTGTTTCTGAGAAACCCGAAGGCCCACAGTTTTGTTTTTTGTTTGTTTGTTTGTTTGTTTTTTGAGATGGAGTCTAGCCCCGTCACCCAGGCTGGAGTGCAGTGGGGTGATCTCAGCTCACTTCAACCTCCGCCTCCTGGGTTCAAACGATTCTCCTGCCTCAGCCTTCTGAGTAGCTGGGATTACAGGTGCCAGCCACCACACCCAGCTAATTGTTGTATTTTTAGTAGAGATGGGATTTTGCCATGTTGGCCAGGCTGGTCTTGAACTCCTGACCTCAGGTGATCCACCTGCCTCAGCCTGCCAAAGTGCTGGGATTACAGATGTGAGCCACTCTGCCCAGTCAACCCATGGTTGAAAACCCACTGCTGAAGGTATTACCCACACAGATGTGGGTAAATGGAGAGATGTGATCAGATTTGCTGTCTTGGGATAAAACTGGCAGAGGACATGCAGTAGGATGGCAGTCAGCAGAGAAGCCACTCAGGTGGGTTAGGGAAGAGTTGCTAAGGACCTGACTTCAGGTGGGTGGACTGGATCCAAGAGAGATCTGGGAGGTAAAATTGATGACTAAGAGTGGGGGTAGTGGCTGGGCAAGGTGGCTAACCCCTATAATCCCAGCACTTTGGGAGGCTCAGGTGGGCAGATC